AAAACAAAACAGTAAGGAAGATTCTGTATCCCAGAGTAGAGAATGAAGCTGGAATGGTTCAGATTCAGGGTGTGGATGAGGAGTTGCTACTAACTTAAAGCTAAGGTCAGGGGTTTCTGGACTCCGTGTGGTCGAGTTTGCCTGTAATCCCAGTGTCTAAGGAGGCTGAGGCCAGGCCGGAGGATTGCTTGAGGCCAGGGGTTCAAGACCAGCCTGGGCAAAATAGGAGACTCTGTCTCAAAAATAAAGTAAGGTAAAGGGTTTCTGGGCGGGGGACAGGCACAGCAAAGGTAACAGTCTGGGACTCAGGTGGCACTGTACTGCAAGAGAAACAGAATAAATGCCGACGGCGGCCAGTTCCGGCTTTCTCCTGGGGGCCCGGGAGCAGGTTAATAGCAGGCCATGGATTAGCATGTCACTTGCATATGCCACACCTCCTGGCCCCTCCACACCAGGACTGGCTGAGTTTGGAACGACCCAGCCAGGCTTGGATTAGTGGCCAGCTGTCCCCTCCAGGGCGGCAGCTGAAACCTGAGACGGGGATTAGAAAGGTTTTCGTTCCCTGCCTGGGGGTGGGGGCATGTGCTCGAGGCTTCACCTGTGCAGGTGTGTTCACAGCCTCTCCCAGGGCAGGACCATGCCAGCCTGAGGCCAGTGCCAGTCAGCCGCCTGGACTGGAACCCAGTCAACCTGACCCCAGAAACAGAACAACAAGTAGAATGGGGGGAGCACAGTCCGCTCCAGCGAGGGGTGGGGCTAGTGACCTTCTGACCGGCACGCTGTCTCTGGACTTGGGCCAGCTTTGAAGAAAGCAGGGAAATGGAGGCAGACCAGACTACTTTGCTCATGTTGGGGCCGGGCAGAGAAACTGAATTTCCTCTCTGTCCCCATCCCCCCTCCCCCCCACAGAGCTCCCAGTCCCACCAGGTTGCCCTTGGAGGGGCACTGGGAGCCAAAGTCACATGTTGGGGGGGCGGGACAGGTTCCCAGGCTGCCCCAGCAGGATCCGCCATTCCCACGGGTGCCCCCTCGGCAGATGGGCCCAGGTCCCTTTGTCCTTGGTTTGCGGCTGCCACAAGGTCAAATGTTACCTCGGGGCCGCGGGCAGGGGTCAGGGAGGCGGGGCTGAGCCTCAACTCACCCCCAGGCGGGCCCCAGGGGGGCGCAGGGGTAGCCGGGCTATTGGGAGGGGGCGGACCAGCCTTCGGGGACTGGAACTGCTGGAGTTTCTGGGATCTCAGTGGCCCTTCTTCCCCCCCATCCCCCACCCAGCCCTCAGCCCCCTCTCAAGACTTGTCTCTTTCAAATCTAGTTCTCTGCTCCCTCTCCTTCACAGTCCCCTGATTACTTGAGTCTTCTCTCCCTCTTTATTTTTTATTTTTCTTTTCTTGAGACAGGGTCTTGCTCAGGCTGGAGTGCAGTGACGTGACTATAGCCCACTGCAGCCTTGAACACCTGGGCTCAAGACGGGCCTCACTTTATTGCCCAGGCTGGTCTTGAAACCCTGGCCTCAAGAAAT